GACTCTGGGGTGAGTCTAAAAATGTTTTGATTATATAATCCTATTTCTAACATATGCTATTTTATAATTTAATATTTAATATTAATTTTAATATTTAATATTATAATAGACAAATTGAAAAAATAGAAAAGAAAAAGACAACTGGTCATGTTTGCATTTCACAGACAAAATCCCTGTCAACATTCTAGCATATTTCCTCTTCACATTTCTCTGCTGTTTTTGTTCCCTACCACGTCATGAAGTAAATAAAATATAGACTGAACGTAGCTTCTGGAGAACCCCTAACAGTGTAGAATAAACAGCGTAGTAGTGTGTGTTCTGGGGAGTTGCAACCTTGAGCACTGCTAAGGTCCCTATGTAATAAAAACGTCTCCCCAGGAATCATCTGCTTTTGTGGGTATGAGAAGAGAAGAGTGAATGTAATTAAATGCATTGCGCTAAGGCCCACATTTTATTTAGCAGTTGTTCAGGCACCTTTAAACGTCATCGTGGAAGTATAAATTTATATAAACTTTTAGTAGAAAATTTGGCGGCTTCTACAAAATTATAAATTGAGTACGGCTTTTGCACAATTCTATTTTTTTTTAATTTTTAAAAGATTTTATTGATTTATTTGACACAGAGACCACGAGCAGGGGGAGCGGCAGGCAGAGGGAGAGGGAGAAGTAGGCTCCATGCCAAATGGGCTGGATTACAGGACCCCAGGGTCATGACCTCAGCCGAGGGCAGACGCTTAAGGACTGAGTCACCCAGCCACCCCCATAATTCTGATTTTAGAAAGATCTTTAGAAATATCTGAACCCGTGTACAAGAATGCTCATGAGCCATCAATACAGAGCTGAAAACAAGGATCCACATGAATCGTGGTTGACTAGACACACTGGACTCAATTCAAGAAACGAGCGCTGCACATATTCAAAAGGAGGTGGATATGAGCAAATATTGAAGCAGTCACAAAATACTAGTAAGTACAGGAAAACGCAGAGTAGTACGCTCATATCCGTCTGCCTGTGCAAGCAATTTGAAGGAAAATATATACCAAAACATGGACAACGGTTAAGGGACAAGGGTCAAATTATAGAGAACTTTTGTTTTATATTTGTTATACGTTTGCATTAATTCAGTGTCTTACAATGATAAATTATAATTAGAAAGTTAAAGTCTTTATATTTTTCTTTACTAGAAAATTATGGGGAAAAAGAACATATTCAGAGGAAAGATTTGTTATTCAATTCCTTAAAACAATCTCAGAAGACAAAACATTTCTCAGCAAGTCATGGGGTGATTCATAAATCCTAAATTGGTTGGTAAAATAAAAGCCTAAATGTTAGGTATGTAAAATGGGAACAGGAAGACACCACGGTAAGGACTCAAAGTGACTACAAAATTTGAAGTTTACGTTTTGGAGAAAATTTATATAAACCACTTTGAATAGAAGACTGGTTTTGGGTGCCACCCTCCAGTTTAGCAGTCACACTAGATCATGGCAGTTCCAGGCAGCATGTACGTGGAGCCTGAATTCTGAAAACTGTCCTAGAGCCTCTAAGTGGAAGCCATCCAAGTTGTTATTAATGGCAAGATCAAGACAGAATACATTTGGTTATTAAATTACCTTTGGAAAGTGAACAGAAGTCAGGTTAGTATCTTTTTATTCTATCTTAAATACCTGTGAATAATTATAATCTAGACCAAAAAAATTACGTTGTGTAACTACTTCAAAACCTTTATATTTTCTTTCATTATAGATATCATTGTCTGGATTTTGAATAGGTGAGTGCTTATGTTTCTCTAGAGTATATGTTAATTGAAAACAACCAAGCTGACCTCCTCATGGGGGGCAAGAACTCCTGTTTCCTCACCTTTGGAGATGAACTGGATGATAATCAAGGACTCAAAAAATCGTTAGAGCTACAATGTCCTTGAGAAGCCGTCTGCTTCATTATTTTAGTCATAGCATTGTTGTCTATGCTAGAGTAATCTAATGATAGTCTTTTTTTTTTTTTTTTAAGAGAGGGAAAGGGAGGGAGATGGGGAGGGGTAGAGGGAGAGGAAGAGAGAGTCCCAAGCAGGCTCCATGCCCAGTATAGAGCCCAACGTGGGGCTCGATCTCACAACCCTGAGATCATGACCTGAGCTGAAATCCAAAGTTGAATGCTTAACTGACTGAGCCACCAGGTGCACCAATCCAATGACAGTCTTAACTACTTGGAGTTCAAATGATTTTAGGAGAAATGAATTGGTTACACAGCAAGTATAATTCATGTTCTGAAGAATAAAGGCCTTATAAAAACTCTACAAGTGATAACTATTGTATTAAAAACTTCTAAAAGTTAACTGTAACACAACACTCTTACTAATTAATTTCAAATTTTAACCCGCTATCAAAATACTTGTATTTTTAGTGCTAGGAACCACAATAATTATCTGGGTCAACAGTGAGTTATATTTGACAATCTGTGTAGACAGTTTATCCCCTGATTAAAATCAAGGCAAACAAAGTGAAACAAGTGAACAACCGTGAGACTCTCCAATGGCATCTGTGCAGGCCAACTGCCTGTTTGCCTTCAAACTAATCTCACTGCCACCTTCTTGCCCTGTCTCATACGTACATTGTGCTCTTTGCCATGGCTTCTGAGTAGATTTGGTGAGTGGCAGACATTGTTGGAAGACTCAGTGACCAAAGGAAGACAGAAGCTAGGGTACCTCTCCCCACCAAACCCGTAGTTTATGCTCCATGGTTCCAGAGCCGCCTCCATTGCTAACTTCAGTCTAGTACTGGAGCCCAAGATGTACCAGTCAAGCTTGTTCTTACTTTGAAATAGCCTTGATTTTGTTATGGGGCCAAGTTTACTACAGGTTACTGGAAAAGAAGGATGGATTTACTTCACATTATCAGAAAATCTCTCTGTCCTGGAATAAGGAACTTTAGGTAGAACATTGCTGTTAAGACATAATAATTAGCATCTGTAAAAAGTATAAAAGTTATAGAAATGTCTATATTTATTATCTTCAAATTACTGTGGACTTCTCAGTCTTGTTTACAACATGCAAAAGTGAAACTAAGGTATAAGTCATACCGTCATATTTCTACATCAGCTATGAAGCATCTGTGGGTGCTTGCTGAAAATGAAAAAAAAATAGAAATTTTCTGTTTCTCAAAGTAGGCTAATTGCTTGAGGAGTATTTCTTTTGTTTCTGAACACAGATGGTGACTTTGGAAGCTCATGGAGATAGAAGTGGTAGCAACAGATAGCCATCTCATGTTCTAGGTTCTGGGTTAATGAGAATCCAGAGCATGAGGAGTTGGAAAAGTGTGCACCATAGTAGGCTCAATTACAGTATATCTCTGCTGTCCTGTTAGAAAATTCCTCTTGCATAAACTGTATTGGAGGCAGGAGATTTCAACCATTTCTAGAAAGTTAAGCGTACATTCTCACCAAAAACATTTTAATTTTGATTTATGCTGGCAGTAATCATGCACTATAACCCCCATATAGGAGGACATAAAAGATGACTTAGACTGCATGACTTAGTTTTTCAGATCTGAAGGTCTTCTTTTAAAAATCAGTGTTCATAGACCTAATGAAGGACCTAAATAATACAGTATTCTTTAGGTGACTACAGTTCTTGAATTTTGACACAGAATTTTCATCTTCCTAAAATGTCTTACATATTTTCTGTAGTGTTCTGACTCCTGTTTTCCAGGATTTCTCTATTATATGAGCCATTATATCAAGACACTCTCATCTTCATTTACATCATCAAGAAGGCAGGAGGAAATGTAGATGCTTGTATTTTTCATGTCTAATTAGGATTATTGTTCATTAATTCAGATCAGATCAAATAATTTCTGCATTTTTCCCCTCAAACTGTTTCATTTTCTTTCTTTTATAGTCTCACTGGGGGTTCGCTTGTCATCAAACCACTTAGCTTTCTGGCCAACCTATTTGCCTTCATTGGCTGGATTCCTCAAAGTTCTATTTTCTGCCAATTTTGTGTATTTAGTATACCCTCTTTGTCTGCATCCGCTGTCCCACATCTCACGATTTGGCAAAGCCACTAAAGTTTTATTATTTTGATTTCTCTCCATCTACCAACTTGCCTGCAGTGTTGGTTTACTAATACCAAGCTTCGTAAGTCTGTTGCTAGAACACCAGCTTCCCCTCACTGACAGGAATTCCCAAAAGAGCTAAGAACTACCATTGAACTGAAACTATTTCTGCTTTGCCTTAAGAAAGCGAGCGATCCTCTTACCACCCTGGTTGCATTTTCTTTCTTGGTTCCTAAAGTGGTTTGTCCCATCGACAGACCAGTTGGTATGCTTGATTTAAACCCGCACGTGGCCTATCTCACTGGCTTTAACAATGCGCCTTCCTTTGCAAAAACGTCTAATTCATCAAGAACTGATGCCTCACTTCACAAGAGAACTTGATCACCACATCAGTCATCTCTCCCGGGATCCTTCTCTGAAGCTTGAACACCTGAGTTCCTGTGCCTTAACCTGTGGTTAGCTAATCACCTAGAGCCTGAGTCAAAGGGCAGCAGCAATGCCTCCTCAGCATCAGTGCCTGTGTCGCTCAGCGAGGGAGGATTGCTCATCCGGACGCGTCTCCTCCCCAAGTCGAACATCCACGAACAAAAAGGACGTGTAAACACTGATAATTTCCTAAAGGGAATATGGTTAACAAATTTTTCTAAATTTTTGAATAGAGGTTTCTGTCATGTACGACTAGTTTTTCCCTTATAGAGCGTGACCACAGCACCTCACTTTTACAAATGTATCTACTTTATTTCCCAGAGAAAGGTCGGACTGTCGTAACCACTTGGAGATCACTAAAGCATTTTCCTGGAGTTGAAATACATGCATTTCACTGAGTACTACTTTTATTCAGTCAGATTACTGTTTTGAATATACTATAAGAAAATAGATAAGCAATAAACAATGTGAAACTTTCAGATTAACTATCATGTGATTTACTATGTTTTCTTGATGTTCTTAGAATTTCACGGTCCTTCCTGGTGTCTGACTCCAGCAGACAGAGGATTGTGTCACGCCAATGAGAGCCGATTCTACTACAATTCCGTCATTGGGAAATGCCGCCCATTTAAGTACAGTGGATGTGGAGGGAATGAAAATAATTTTACTTCTAAAAAAGCATGTCTTAGGGCTTGCAAGAAAGGTAAAAAGGACATTCTTCCCATTAATTCACTAGTGTTTAAGATAATAATTGCACTGAAATTATGAACAAATTTTAATATAAGAAAAATATTATGATATTAGTTCTACTTATAATAAACAAAATATTATAATTTAGGTAATATATGTCCCCTTTTCAACTACATTTAGATGATATTGCTGGAGATATTAACTACAATTCCTCATAATGTGTCTTTCACAGAAAAAATAATCTACTTGAAACAAAACATTCTATTCTTTAATATTTACCTACTAAGGTTTCATTTTAAATTATACCAAAATATTTTTAAGCTGTCTTACAATGCACAACATTTAAATGTAGCTACTGACTTTCTTCTGAATATTAAAATGATGCAGGTTTACAGAGCATTAACATATAAGTAAAAATCACACGTAAGTCCACCAGTCATATTCAGCCAGATGTTTGCTTTAATAAAATGAGCATGAATTTCTGACCGAAGATGAGAAATAAAAGTCAGAAGCATGCTTATCCATTTTTGCTCATTCTTATATACGTGAAATGACTTCCTTAGAAATAGCTTGTTCTGCATTAAAGACTAAAGCTTTTAAGCCAATTGTTTTTGGTTTTATATATTTAAAGATAATTTGAGAAAATTTTAAATAAAATGTTTTATTATATTACTCTGTTTTGCATAATAAATTTGTTTCTCTTCCTTATGTAGGTTTCATCCAAAGAATATCAAAAGGAGGATTAATTAAAACCAAAAGAAAAAGAAAGAAGCCGAGAGTAAAAATAGTGTATGAAAAAATTTTTGTTAAAAAAACATAAATTTTGTCACATTATTGTATCAGTTCTAAATATTCTGGATGAAACTTTCCGCTATATTTTCTTTCCCAAAATCCTTTTAATGAATATTTCCATGAATTTTCTATATACATATTAACCACTATTAATAATTAGTATCAGAATTAACTTCTTTATGTAATCAAAGTGCATATCCAGGGGCTGAGTACTATGAATTTACTTACTCTCTCAATCCCTCTCTATTTCCCATTGACTACAAGTTGTCATATTACTGACCACATCCAATCAGTCCATTTTTACATTTGGTATCAGTTGTTCGAAAATATGGTGTCATTTATTTGTTTTGATGATGTAGATGATGATCTCCTTTATTGCCTACGCACAGATTAAAAAATATAGCCATTAAAGATCAAACACCCTTTGGATTTCACATCTGAAATGGTGACAAGCACTTTCTTCTCCAAGGATTGGTCAGTTGAGCGTTGAGGGAGAGCTGGTGATAGTACAACCCATCATGTGCCTCCCTCCCTGGACATATCTCTTCTCCTTGTTCGCAAACCCGTGCCTCAGATCAATCTCGAGCCAAACCATTATCAGAACAAAAAGGGTCAACTCTACCATGTGTCTGATTTTGATTAACTATTTTTTGTTGGTTTGTGACCCATTATATTAGTAAAAATGGTTGAAGAGTTGTGTGTTAAGTACAGATCATGGTAAGAAGAGGCTTGGTGGAAAGGGAAATTTTTAATGGTAATCAAAAGGAAATTATCTACCTACATCCCAAATTCATTATTTAACAAAGTTTTCTCTTACACAAAATTGTAAGAATATTTAAACCTGCTGAAACCTACTTATTTATCCTTGGGCCCTGCACGTAGCACAACCCAGTAAGTCATGTTTAAGGTGGGGAGAAAAAAGTCATGTTATTTCCGTCGAAGAGGAAGATTCTACTAGAAAATCTATGTGATATTCCGTCCCAGTGGCCCAGCCTCTCCTTGGAGTTCATTCTGGTCCCCCAGATCTAGACCTTTCCTTCCCGGCTCAGCTGTGGCCATGCGGATCTCCACAGCCTCCAGGACACTCCAACTCTCAGCGCTCATCTCTAGCTTTGCATTCGAGTGTCAACTTGCCATCTAGAAGCAAGTAACCATTTCATCTGCTTAGTTTAGCTTTATGACTTTCTCTAGCAGTAGTGTTATAATTTTGCCTGTTCCTCAGTCTTGAAAGTTTGAAGCCAATTTTGACTTCTTTTTCTTCATATATATATGTATGAAGAAAAAAATATATATATATCATCGGTCTCTGAACACTATTGCTTCCTGTTTAATAACCTTCAGCCCCAGGCTTTTTGCCCCTATTGCATTCTTCACATCAGTAACTGCTTTAATTCCTAAGAATTAATTCAATATATTTCTCCACCTCTCAGAATCCATCAAGGACTCACTAGTTGGTACTTAACCTCACCCCATTCCCCACAATTCTATTTTGATATGTATTTTTTTGGATTTAACTACTGCCCTCTTTCTTGACTTTCAATTTAGTTAAAAGGGTATGCACTATTCACTGAATACATCTTTAATTACTCAACTTATTCATGCTGATTTCCTACCTAAAAATGTGATCTTTTCTCAACTTTCCACATGAATTCAGGGTCCAGCTCATGAGTGCTATAAAATCTACATAGTTTTGAGGCTGAATATGAAGTCCTAAGATATAATTATAAATCATTTTCATCCTATGACATAAAAATTATATCATTATAAAATAGTTCACTTAATTTTATATCTTGATTTCAAATAGAATACATACACACAATACATACATAAGTAATAGTCTTAAACTGAATGTTTGCTGTGGTATTTGAGACTTTGGGAAACCAAAATCCCTGTGCAATATGCTTTCTTGTCATTTATACCCTTAAATAAAGGGTAATGTCTCCTTAGGTCAAGTGATTAGTTGCCACCAACAACGTATAAATAACACAGTAGTGAGTTGGACGTTTTCTCCAAAAACCATCCATGGGTTCATTATGTAATCAGGAAAGACTCACACTGAGATAGTTTGCAATGTTTAATTCACAAGAATATTATTTTTGCTGTATTTTTAGATAAGAAGCTCTCTGGTGGTACTGTCTTACTTTGTTTTACATAATCAAATACATCTAACTGTGAATTTTATATAGAATTACATTATATAGCATTTATATATATTTACCAACTTTGTTTATTCTGTGTTCAAAATTAACAAATCATGCTGAAAACTGCTCAAATGATTTTAGTTTTTACATTACAAGAAATAAAATATTATCCTGAATAATGAAGTGTAACTGTTACGAAGTTTTTTATACTTCAAAAAATTTTAGTGTTCTTCAGTTATTACAAAGATTGAGACCTAAGACAAAGGAAAAAATTGTTCCATAAGCTTCAGTTGACTTGTACCTCCCTCATTGGAATTTGCTAATAATCTCCTTTCAATTACAAATGTGCATTCATATACTAGGACTTCTTATTTGTTAAAAAAAAATTAATTACTATGCCTTACAATGCTTACTCCATTCCATATGTATTTCTACAATCATCTCCTACAGTTATATAAATATGACATGCGTATTTAAATATATATCATTAATATACATATTTTATTTAATATACATATTTATTTAATATACATATACAGATTTTATAAGCGACTTCCAATCTTGACTAATAAAGATGTCATGGCCCATTTCCATGCCAGAAGGAGGAAGAAAATGACCTTAATCAACTATTTAGGAGAAATCTTGAGTTATTTTATAAAATGTTCCTGTTTGACTCCTTTTTATGAAGTTATTATTTGAATTTAGTTTACAACTTTTGACTTTCAGTTCTTTCTCAAGAACTTGAGCGTGAACACACCTGAATTACTTTTCTTGTACTCCGCCCCACAGAACATCAGTCCCTTGGGGCCAATCTCTGAATTACAACCACGTAGCTGGTGTCTTGGCTAGAATTATGCAGAGCACTTTTTAAGGGAGTAGTGATACATGGTAATTCATTTCACCAAAGAGAGAGAAGGAGAGATGTGAACACATTTGGTCATCTAATGTAATAAAATAGAGCATTAGGACAATGAATAGGATTTCCTCATCCAAAAATTCGGATCCCCAAGGTTTGAAACAAAATGGGGTATATTTGATCATAAAATTAGAAAGGCCAAAGTTATTTTACTTCAGTATAGATGGACTCAGGTGCTCAGTCTATCTTTATTCCTGATTCTTCCATCCAGCTTTTTTGCCTTTATTTTTTAATCTTATAGGGTTACAAGATGACTTCTAGGATTTAAGGTTCACATCCTCTCAGATAAATTTTTCTAGAAAAGTTTATACTCTCTTACCTCAAAGAACTGAAGTCCTGGCCTCAGGCATGATTCATGAAAGAAATCCCTGGCCAGCCAGACTTCATTAAAACTAAAATCTTTTGCTCTGCAAAGGATAATAAAAGATATTAGAAAACAAGCCATGAACTGGGAGAAAAATTTCAAAAGACACATTTGATAAGGGACTGTTAACCAAAATATATAAAGAACATTTAAAACTAAAGAATAACAATGCTATTAAAAAAAAAAAAAATTGGTCAAAGACCTTAGCAGACACCTCACCAAAGAAGAGCTACAAATGACATAAGCGTATGAAAAGACACTCCGCATCATAGGTCGTCAGTGAAATACAAACCACAACAATGAGCTACTACTTCACATCCACTGGAATGGCTAAAACCAGGTACATGGACATGACCGAATTCCAGCAAATGCACGATGGAGCAGGTGCAACCCTACTTGTTACTGGTATGAACGCAGAATGGTTAGCCACTTTGGAAACCAACTTGGCAGTTAAAACAAAAGTAAACACACTCTTACTATACCATTTAGCGATCAAGCTCCTTGTATTTACCCAAATAAGATAAAAATGTTTGTCCACACAAAAGCCTACACAGATATTTGTGGCAACTTAATCCATAATGGCCATAACCTGGAAGCAACCAAGAGGTCCTTCAGCAGAGGAACGGATGAACAGTGTTACATCCTGACAATGGAATATTATTCAGTGTCAAAAAGAAAAGCGCTACAAAACTGTGAGAAGACATGGAAGAATTTTAATGAATACTATTAAGTGAAAGAAGCCAAACTGGGAAGTCTACGTGCTTTCGGAGCCCCAATATGTGGTGTTGTGGGAAAAGGAAACTGGAAATGGTAAAAAGATCCTGGTTCCAAGGGGTAGGGAAGGGAGAAGGAATCGGAAGAGTACAGGATTTTCAAACCAGTAAAATCCTCTGTGTGTTGCCGTAATGATGGAAATTGGTCATTACAGGTCATTATATCTCCAAACCCATGGATTGTACACCAGGAGTGAGTCAATGTAAGCTACGGGCTTTGGGTGACTATCACAGGTCAGTGGAGGTTCATCCACTGGCACAAATGTACTGCTCTGCTGGGGGATTCGCTACAATGGGGGAGGCCATGCACGTGTCATGGTAGGACATATATGGGAAAGCTCTGTATCTTTCCTTCAATTTTGCTGTGGACACAAAAACTCTAAGGAATTTTTCTTATATATAAAAAAAAAATTCCTGGCTGCTCTCTTTTTGACCCAAATATCTAATGGCCAGCCTTGACCCAAATATCATGCTTAGAGAAATGTGACTTTCTGATTAACCGGGTATGAGTCCACTCCGAACATCTACTGGCATAAGCACTACCTGAAATCTGTGATCTGACTGCCAGGGTTGGGCCTAGAGTGAGGCCTCAGGCACAAAATTTGAGAAGACATAAAAAAAGTCAATAACCAAGATCAATAATATTGCAATGCAGCATTTTTTAAAAATTAAGCAATTCTTGAAGAAAATATTGAACTTATTAACAAGACAGGAGCAGTAACAGCCATATTAGAATCTGAGGCAAAAGAAAAAAAAATTCAGTAACACCAATGACTGTTAAGAATATAAAGATGGTTCACGTTTGGTCATTATTTAGTATAATAAAAAGTATTAACAGAAAAAAAAAACCCCAAATAATCATTTAATAGATAAAGGAAGTTTATTTGGTCTAATTCAACACTTGTTTCAGGATTTAAAACTTTGAGCAAAATAAAGATCTTCTTTATCTAAGGAAGCATACCTACCAAAAACATACAACATGATGTGTAGTGATAAAATCTCAGAAACATCCCATGAAACTCAGGAACAGGACCAATGTGTTCTCCATTAACATCACTATTCAACATATCCAGGTAGTCTTAATTTTATACCAAAACAAAAAGAAACAGAAATTAGGCATAAATATATCAAAGTTATTTTCATACAATATGCTTAGCATAAGTGAAAATCCAGGGGCACCCGGGTGGCTCAGTCATTACGCATCTCCCCTCAGCTCAGGTCATGATCCCAGGGTGCTGGGATCCAGGCCTACGTTGAGCTCCCTGCTCCACGGAAGCCTGCTTCCCCCTCTCCCACTCCTCCCACTTCTGTTCCCTCTCTCACTGTTTGTGTCTCTGTCAAATAAATAAATAAAATC